ACCTCAAATTTCTCATCAATGTCTAAGATAACAAAGTCTACAGGAAAAATGAGAGGTACTACTTTAATGAACAGGTCCTCCACCACACCTTTAGGTCGTACTACAGACTTGTCTGCCAACTGAATGTGCATCCTAGTGGCCCTAAGTTCTCCTAGTTCTAGCTTTTGAAAAAACTTATAGGGCATCACATTAATGCTAGCTCCTAGGTCCGCCAAGGACTTTCCTATGCATACGTCACCAATAAAGCAAGGGATAGTGAAACTCCTTGGATCTTTGCGTTTCGAGGGCAAGTGGTTCTGCACGAGGGCGGAGCATTTCTCATTCAATCTCACAGTAGCTACCCCTTCCAGCTTCTTCTTGTTGGTGAGGAGGTCTTTCAAGTATTTTGCTTACTTGGGCATTTGGGTGACGACCTCCAGGAAGGGAATGTTTAAATGCAACTGGTTCATCAACTCCATGAAGTGGGAGAACTCCGCTGCCATGCGGTCGTTGCGGAGTCGTGAAGGATAAGTGAGAGCTGGGATCGCTTTCCTCTTTTCTGGCTCCGGTTGAGGGGTCAGAGTGACATCCACTCCTTGAGAGGTCGGTTGAGGGGTCGTAGAGTCGAGGTCCCTTTCACTAGTGGCTTCCGACTGCAAGGGGAGGTTACCACCCCCCTTGTTGCGAGCTGTTTCTTCTTTGGGGGTAGCTCTTTGGCCTCTCTTCCACTTTGAAGAGTAACGGCTACTACGTCAACTTTGTCGGCTGACTCCCAAGACCGAGCCGCTTGCGAGATAACCCCTATGCTTGTGCCCAGGTTGATCAAGTGGGTTTCATGACTCTCCAACCCCGCCTCTATGGTCAAGAACTTCTCTATTGCCTCTCCAATGAATCTGTCGATTCTTTCAAACTTTTTAGAGCTGGAGGCGACAAAGGTCATCACCACCTCCTCAAGGCGGGTCATCTGGTGATACTCTACTTCCTCATAGTCCCAACTTTCACCCCACTCCATAGGTGTTGCTACCCTGGTTACTTGTCTCTTATCCTCGAGCATTACTCTGATCAACTGATCTAACTTCGCTTGAAGTGGGGTCACAACGCTTCCCATCGAAGTCGGGGCTTCCTCTTTTACTTGGCACCGCTAGATCTCTCTTCCGTGCTAGGAGCCGGAGAGTTCGGTTTATGTCCTCGTCAAGTGGTAGCAAAGGTGTCGGGTTGCTCCGGGTCATGCACCACCTACACACAATCAGAAAACACCAAGTCTAGCACAAGCAAAGAACACACACTTGCAAAACTAAAAATTAAAAGCTAGATTAACAACCAACAACTTTTTCAAGATAACAGACCGTTGTTTCTCGGCAACGGCGCCAAAAACTTGACTCGCTCGAAACTACACCACAATAAAATCCCAACTAGAGCCCAATTTTTTAAACTCTAGTCGGGTGTAGTAAAGGGCAAGTATTTAGATATTGGTCCGGGTCAGTCCGTCTACCCCTACTTCAGTTGTTGAAATCATTATCTAGCAACAAAGTTTTGGTTTAAAGGTTTGCTAATTGAAATGAAAGAAAGCAAAGGTAATTGGTTTTGAAAACTCTTTTGTGGAAGGATCACTCGGGTGTCGCTTCCCCCTAACTGTTACCATGATATGTGAATTGGAACGATTGCTTTGGGCACGATAATTGCGAACCGCCGAGGGATGCATATATGGTCGGAGACAACAATCTCAATTGCTAAACCGAGGTAAGCATGAGAGGTCATGTCACTCGACCCTCTCGGTTTAGACAATCGGTAGTTGACTTACTCCCTCACTCAACTCTAAGGTCGGACAGCTTAATCGCTATTAACTTATTTGCTTAACTCAATATTGAGTGTTGCCCGCACTTAACCTAGTTTAGGTGGCTAATTAGATTGCTAGTACCAACTTGCACGAACCTAAGGGTGCTAAGCACAATTATGCACAATCCTTAGGTTGCTAAGCACTTAAATGCACAAACCTAAGGATGCTAAGCACAAAACGTGAACAAACCTAAGGATGCTAAGCACAAAACGTGCACAACCCCTAGGTTGCTAAACAAAAGCATGCACAATCATGATGAATAATGCCTCATTCATTGAATTAAAAAAAATACTCAATGACAATCATCCAATACACATAAAAGAAAACTACATGGTAGAGTTAGGGTTTCACCACACCCAAGTGAAAGGAGGTCTCCTTGTATGTGGGCACCGGGCCGTGCCGCCCACGGGCTAGCACGACACGGCACGGTTAGAGCACAACACGAGCATGGGCACGAAATAAATGGGCTAGCCCGACACGAGCACAGATAATTTATGGGTCGTGCCGATCCTAAACTTCATGGGCACGAGCACAGGCATGACACGGTATATAAGTGGGTCATGTCGGGCCTAATATTTTCGAGACTTTATTGAGTATAAGAACGAACATGGCACGAAAATAATATTTATTTGATAGAAAATAAATATAAAACGAATTATAAGTTAATATTACAAAACACAAGTAGAAAAATAATTATTTGTTGTTGTTAGATGTGTCAAAAAGATATATACATAATTACTAACATAAGTAAAAATGGATAAAGAATTAAACAAAGCCAAATCACACGCTATACTTCCAATTTTCTTTTCCCCCTGATTTTTTACTTTTCTCAAACATTATCGATTAATACTATCTTCCTCCGTCCAATTTTCACCTTATTTTTCATTCTCTCTTTTGTTTTCGTCCTTTTCATTAAACACGAATACGAGCATGACACGAGCACGAATAGGCACGACACGATTCGAACCGTGCCCAGGCCTGGGCCAGGCCTAGCAAAGTTAACAAATGGGCTTGCATGGCACGACACGAAAACTGAAGGGCCGTGCAAAGCATGACACGAAATAAATGGGTCCGAAGCGTGCCCGTGCCGTGCCGGCCCAAGCACGGCTCATCGCCCATGTGCAGGTCTACTCCATGTTAGAAGTGGGAAAAGCAAAAGGGAAAGAGGTGGAAACCATCTTGGAGGATGCTCCCAGTCTTCTTTGCCCTTGAGTTGAGCTTTCCTTGGAGGAAATCTTCCCAAAATCTGCCTTGAAGCTAAACCCTAGCCTTCTTCTCCCTTTGGTTCGTGTTTCTCTCTCTAGAATTCAGAATAAGGCTTCTCTCACAAAATGGGTTCTCCTCTCTCTCTCCTCCTTTTAGCTCATCATTTAAACCAGAGACGAGCTGAGTTCACGGCCGTGAACCACGAAACGGGTCCTTGAACGTCAGGCGTGCGCCAAAACGCGCTGCATCGTTCACTTCTGTTCACGGTCAACTGCCTTTGTTCACGGTCTTAGAGACCGTGAACTCACCATGCGTTAGTAACCCTCGTTTTGGCTCTAGACGCCTCGTGATTCACGGTCAAGGACTCTTCTTCACGGTCTAGCATGACCGTGAACTCTTGGGAAAGCCGTGAACTAGCCCCTTTTCACATCTTCTCCCGGTTCTCGATCTTTTTTGCCCAACTTTCGACTCCGAGGCTGGTTTCACCTGTTGAATCTTGAAACACACTCAAACACGAGGAACCTAGCGTAAAACAACCTTTTAGGAGCAAATTTGGCACAAACACCTAAGTAAAACGAGGCAAAACATGTACAATTAGGCCCGAATCAATGGGTTAATTGATTAGATATTTATTTTCTTGATTAAGGGTGACTTATTTCCCACTAATCAGGAATATTCTGGGGAGGGGGGTCTCGGCTCTTATAAATACCTGACCCCTGAGACCCTCTAGATACACAAATTCGAAGAGAAGAAACACGAGAGAGAGTGAGGTTCAAAAAGCTTTGGTGTTTGCACAAAATCACTGAGCAAATGAGTGGTTGTTTTATCCTAGAGGCAACCGCCTTATAGTCTGTTGTGCACAACAAGGCAATTCCGCAAACGTCGTAAAGGGAGCGAGATAGTCCTCGGCTCAACCTGATTCGGTAACCTTAGTTTTTTTGTTCAGTTTCTAACAACACTCTTTTTGATTATATACATTGAAACAAGTCTTTTTCTCAGATCTAATTTGACACAAATCCGAGCATAATTCCCCTTGAACCATTACTAGTATTGTAGCCAATCTTCTCAACTCTACCCAGCTTGTACTGAAAATTATATATATATGAATTTTTTCATCTCGATAGCAAGAGATGAGTAGGTAATTTTATCCAAACTGAGACTATCAATCAAGTCAAAGATCAGGAAGAAATCCCCTTCTTTATTGCTCTTCTTAAATAGTTTCAAACTCGAGCATTCGTGCTCTTATTTATTCAAATTTTGGTGTAATGAAGACAGTCTTCAACATCATCTCCTTCATATTCATCTGACATCAGCTCATCTCCTTACCGGGATGGTGATGGGTGAACAATTGCCTAAGAACGAGTATTTGTGAGAGACCTTAGCCCCAACAGATTTCATCTCCTTCTTCTTGGATCATGGGTTTTCTCCTTTTTATCAAGTGGAGGCTCAGTTGCCCTCATCTCTTAATCAGTCACTCTCGCAATTACCACTGCCAAAACTTTCTTCGTCGTTGCTAGCTCTGGCTTTCTTGCTTGGTTGGTTTGCCATCAAGACTGATGACCATCATATATGTCCGGTGATTTTCAAAAGTGGTCGACCTCCACTTAACAAGACTTGATTTCAACTTTCATTAATGGATAACGTTAAGAGTTTCATAGCTTTTTGTCTCTCCTCTCTCTTTAGAACTCTATTTCACTGACAAGGAATCCGAGAAAATTGTGGTAAATTAAAACTCCACCACTTTAACCATCAAAATAGGTTTTATTGTTCTCATCGAATGTAGAGACCTAAAAATCCCTTTCTTCTCTTTTTTTGGTTAAATTCCTTTTCTTCTCTGTGGGTTGAATGCAACGGAAAAGAAAAGATTTATAGGCTCCGTAATCGAATCGTCTGAAAGAAAAGGGGCCTTAACGTAATTTTCCTAGAAATCAGGGCCGGTTTAGGTTTTTATTAATTGTGGTCCAGCTCATTCGGCAAAGAATTAACCCGGTTAGGTCTTTTGAACCGCGCCTTCTTACAAAAAGCCACAAGCACGATTCCGTCTTTCGCCGCCGCCACCAACCCTCTCCTTCCCAATCTTGAAAATCAATTTTCCGATCTCCGCCTTGATTCGTTGTTCAATCCTTTGAATTGTCGCCCGATTCGTTCAATTCGTTTCGTTCTCTCTCGATCGACCCCTTTTGCTCCCCTCCTGCCGTCGATTTTCGAAACGTAGGGTTAGGGTTCCAGATCTGCAATCTACGACACCTCTAATCCACCGATCCTTCACAGTTTCGCCTTCGAATTGTCCCTTTGTAAATTTACCCTATCGATTTCCCTCCAATTTTGCAGATAATCGTGCTCCGGTCTCGTCCTTAGGGTTTTGATTTTTTTCGGTAATTTTCGATCTGCGTCTGATCGTCCGATTCTTCGAATAGGTAGAGGGGTTTCGTTCCCGGGGCTGTTACCTTCACGAAAAATCCCTTTTTGATACGTCAATTCGTTGTTTGATAGGTGAATTCGAAATCTAGGGTTAGGGTTTTTCAGACAGAAAATTGGGGGCTCTATCTGCCAAATTGGTTTGGGGGTTTCGTCAATTGGCTTCTATTGAGCGTTCAGTCGGTAATTCGGTGTCCCTAACGGCTAATTACTGCTCCAATTGTCCAATTTCGGTCGGAGGCTTGTGCGTGAAAAACACCTAAGGTAATCTTTTTTAAATTGGGATTGATTACCTTTAAATTTATATTGGTCGCTACATGATGACAAGTTTCACAAGCTTTCTTTGTACATTAAGTTTGAATTTTAGTGTGTTATAGGTTCAAGTTGGTAGTTCCATTACTCTAGCTTTGTGGGAGCATAGTGATCCTAATTCCTATGTCGTGTTAATCATGATTTCCAAGTTATGTATTAAACATTGCACCACTGCTGTGTGCATCACTTCTATTGTTCATTGACATTGGTATGCTTGCTCTTGAAATGATACTCAAAATGTATTGCACGCTTTGCAGGTTGACATGGGATATAAGAGGCTATTTGATGATACTGATTTCCAAGAGCTCCCCTTAAAGCAAGCAAGACAGCTGGACTTCAGCAATAGATCTACTCAATTTGCTGAAAACTTGCCGTATATGAGTTCTACTAAGAATCCTGATTCCTCAGGTATATATGTATATGTCTTCTAAGTTTATTTATACTGTGTCATAACTCGCAACTATGAACTTTTTTAGTGGCTGTTACATTTGTAGTGATTTGAACTAGTTCAGTCATTGAATTTAATTCTATTCCTTGAAGCAGTTAACCAGGACAATACGAATGGCAAGCCTCTGTGGTATGAGGTATCTGAAAATGCTGTTGTGCCCAAGAATTGCACTGATGAGGATGTCAGCTTCAAAATAGCAGCTTGCTCGTCCTTATCTCCTCAATATCCCAAGTATAAGGGATCGTGGGAATGTACCCCATTCAGCAATGCCTATATTCCTTACTTTGACCGCTTCCCAAGAAAGCAAGTTCCTCTTGGACAAAACCATCAAGCCAGCATTCCTCCACTGTGCCCTAATGTTGAGAAGCACAAGAAAGGGTCTGAAGAATCATCTGAGCCAAATGCTATGTTGATGTCATGTAGCGACGAGGAGAAGAAACTAATGGGCACTTGCATCCTTCCGATGCCAGACACGAAATCTTTCTTCCTTGACCAGGTTGGCCTTAGTGGATCTCATTGTTGCTGCCTAGATGCAGGGTCGTTTAGATGTGTGCAACAACATGTATCGGAGGCTCGGGATAAGCTGAAAAAGTCCTTGGGTCATGAGAATTTCTCGAGCTTAGGGTTTACTAACATGGGAGAAGAGGTAGCATGGAAATGGACCGAGAATGAAGAACGTCTTCTCCATGCTGTTATCTATTCCAACCCTCCGTCCTCTGGTCAGAACTTCTGGAACCACCTTACACAAGTGTTTCCTGCTCGGCCCATGGACGAAATAGTAAGCTATTACTTCAACGTCTTCATGCTCCGAAAGCGGGCGTCTCAGAACAGATCTGATGCCCTGGACATCGATAGCGATGATGATGAATTGCATGGTATCGATATAGGCTCGTATGAAGGTGAAGAAGATTCAGAAGAAGACGATTCCGGAGTTGAATCTCCTGTTGAGGATTATAGTCGTCGATTGAACCGCGGTGAGGATATTGTTACTGAAGATGATGATGACGATGACGACGATGATGATGGTGATGGCAATGGAAACGGTGATATGCAAAATTGTTGCTATGATGATTTTACAGGAGATGAAAACTCAGGAGGGGTTGATTACATCTCGGAGGGAGCACCATGTGGTAAGAAGTCATTTTCTGGGAACATGTACGATAATGGGTTCAAACATGCGCCAGAGAAGTATGACGATGATCATACTGCTGTCCAAGATGACTCGTGCACGTCTTTTGAGTTCCAAGCGGATAAAGATAATCCTTGTTACCACCTGATAGAGGAAGGGGAGGCTGCTGCTCTTCATGGGAGCGGAGTTGAGGATGTTTATGCCAACAATTGCTCAAGTGGTGGTGAAGTGGATGCGTGCAGCTACATGATGGATGTGGTGCCCATGCTGGATTTTCGTAATGATGTTTTGGGCAGACTATACTCCAGTCCTGGAAAATGCCGCACAGAAAATGTCTCTGAAGATTACATGGTTCAAGATCACTCATGCTTGCCTTCTGAAGCTGTTGGGGTTGCAGTAGAAGGTGGTGGAGTTGAGAATGGGGTAGCTACTGGCAAGGTAAACACTGGGTGTAGTGATGCGATGGATCTGATACCCATGTTGGATTTTCGCGATGAGAAAGCTTGGGATGCTATTTTCCCGGGTTCTGTATAGGGGCTTTGGTTTCTGCGGATCATCGATGGTAGGTATGAAATAACCAGGAGGACTGAGCACATTCATCCGTTGTTGCACTAAAGCTCAGTGCAACTTGTGGGATGGCCGAACTCTAAGTGGCCAGGAGGAAGAAACTGGAAAATACTAAATTGTAAAATGGGAAGAAATCTGTTAATTCTTTTTTATTTCCTTTCTTTTTGGCGCTCATTTGAATTCTTAATGTGGCCTGCCACCTGCCTTCTGTTACCAAAATCTATTTTTCCAAATTTCCTAATCAATATATAAGTGGAGAATGACCTAAAAGAGAAAGGTATTGGAAAAACTGATTGACCCAAGAGTTAAGCTGTTTGGTGATCGTTTGGATGCATATATTATTAAATAATGTATTGTTTTTTTGAATTTTTGTCACAAACAATAAATGTATTGTTTGATGTGACACAAACTATGAGTGATGGTTAAATCTCAAGTTTTGTTGAGATTGCTTGATTGAGATTTTTTAGTCTTTTTTCTTCCAACAGTGTTTCTACTTTTGTATGTCTAAAAATTATAAAGTAAAAGTATAATTTCACCCAAAAAATAATCTATCTTATCTGAATACTATAATAACTATCACATAAATCAAACGATATGAGATACAATATACTATACATGTATATTATTATGCATGCATTGATGACAATGTATCAATTTAACTATCACCAAAACCAAACAACTCCTAAAATACTGTTGATAGCACGTGGAGAAGAGCTCCCTCCCTCTTTTCGATACTTGGCAAATATGATGACTTTTATTCATTTTTTTCCAAGATATAAGAAGAGATAACATTAGAAAAGAAAGTATAAATAAAATATATTAACCAAATATTTGATCTTTTAACAAAATAATATCCAAACTTTTTTTAAAAACAAAATAATAGCCAAACCGTTGACTTTCTATCCAATTGACCATCAGTTGACTTTGACGTGACAATTTGATGTTTAGTTGGATATATTTTTTTACCTGGACCGTGCCACAGCAACATTTTTTAATTGCTCATTTTAAGTTCGGAATTAAATAACCAACCAAGCATGTGCTACTCTCAAAATCATAATAAAACAAAAATTTCCTAGTCGATGTCGGACCAGTCACCTGAGAAGCTTCTCCTCGGCGACACCAAAGAAAGTGAGAGACGTAGTTGAATGTGGTCACTGGCTCCAAAGAGAGATCAGAGAGCGCGCAAGGAGAGAGGGTAGCACCGGAGATAGATCAGAAAGAGTGCGCAAGGAGAGAGAGTTTGGTGAAAATCGCAAAGGTCAAAGACCCTGTTGCCTCCCTAATCGAATGCGAAGAAGAACCGGCGTCCGCACGGCCCAATGCTCTGCATCCTTGTCTTAACGCGAAGAAGAAGATGAATCTACCCCCTACTTTGCCTCCTTGTTTGAACGCGAAGAAGAAGATGAATCAGATTGACCTCCCAACTGTAATCGACGCCTTGCTTGAGCTGCGAATATGAGGAAGCGGGCTTTCTTGAAGAATCATAGTTTCCATGGAGGGAAACAATATACCATAAAACCCTTCCAAAAGAGTCCTTCTTCCTCTCAACCTTGGGCACAATTTCTCGGCCTCCAATTCCCCTTCATCACTATTTCCTTCTTCAATCACCTAGCAGAAGAAAGAAGATCTATGGGTATTGTACTTGGCAGCGTAGTTTTAGATCTCATCGTCACTACAAGACGATGTTTCAGAGACTGATTAGAGGAGAATCCCCAAATTGAAAACCATCCACCACCGCCGATTCGTCTACCAAACCACCACTAGAAAAGAGGGAGGAGAGTGATTCGGGCCTAATTGTACACTTTTTATCCCCGTTTCTCTTTTGACGTTTGTGGCAATTGAGCTCCAAAAGGGGTGGTTTTACGCTAGGTTTCTTGTGTTTCAGTGTGTTTTAGAGTCTAACAGGTGAACCCAACCACGGAGTCGAAATTTGGAAGAAAAGGAGCAAAGACCGGGCAAAGAGGAGGATTTAGCCTGTGTTCACAGTCCAACATTGGAGTTCACGGTGTCTAGGACCGTGAGTAGGAACCACAACCCGTGAATCACGAAGCATCTAGAGGGGTTTCTGAGGTTACTGACGCCAAGGCTGTTCACGGTTGCTAAGACCGGGAACAGGAACCACAAACCGTGAACCTCAGAAGTGAAGCAGTGCGTTTTGGGTCACTTTACCGTGTTCACGGACACATCTTGATGTTCACGGTCATGAACTGGACACGATCTCATTATAAAGAGTGAGCTGAAAGGAAGAAGGAGGGGGAGCCCAAAGTGAGAGAAACCTTCTTCTTGAAAATATAGAGAGAGAAAGTCACGAACCAAGAGGGAGAAGAAGCTAGGGTTTGCTCCAAGTGAAGATTTTGGAAGCTCCTCTTCTTTGGAGGATCTTTACAAGCACAAGGAGAGTTGGAGGCATCTCAATGATGGTTTCTTTCTTCCTCTTTTGTGTTCTTCCTTTGTCTAGCATGGAGTAGTTTCCCTTTTTACTTGGTTGTTGTAGAACCCTAACTACTATCATGTAGTTGATTGTGTGGATTGAATGATTGTGTGATGGTGGTGTTGAATTTAAGAATTGAGGTATTTTTCATGGTGATTGTGCATATTGTTTGTTTGGCAATCTATTGTGCTATTTTAACCTTGATTAGAGAGAAGCCCCCTTACCTAATTAAGAGGCTCAAAATTGAGCTGGGTTTTCTTTGGCATTCCATGCCTCCTAACTAGGTTAATGAAGGGCAAACCTCTATTTGAATTAGATACCTAGTTTAATTGTGATTTTGCCGTCCAAGCCTTGGTTTGAGGGAGAAGGTAAGTCAACCCTCAATTGCTTGTGCCAAGAGGGCTACAATTGTAGTCTCTAATGCTTACCTTGGCATAGCAATTGAGAAGATGATTTCTAACAATTGTTGGGGACCGGTTACTATGACAACACTCCTTGTGTTGTTATAGTGACAACACTAGTCTTCCACCAATAGGAAGGTAGGAATGTGATGACTTTTTATTAGTTGAGTTGACCTAGTGTAAAATCAAAGCAGGGGTATAATTGTCATTATGAAAATATGTTTACCGGAATATGCTTTTTTGCCGGAATATGCTATTTGTTGCCGAAATATGCTTACCGGCGTCGGTATCTAGTCATCGGGGCCGGAATATGCCTATCGGCGTCGGAATCTGCTCACTGACGATCACTGGAGTTCGGTCAACGGTCAACGATCACCGGATGTTATGGTTAGCATTGTGAGATTTATGGTTTGGTTTCTCATATTTTTTATGCCTTTTGTGGTTGCTTTATCGTGTTTGTGGTTTGCATTGAGAAGTTTCTGGTTTGTTTTCAAAAACTTTGTGGTTTGCATTGTGAGGTTTCTGGTTTGTTTTAGGGGATTTGTGGTATGCATTAGGAGGTTTCTGGTTTGCATTAAGAAGCTTCTGGTGTGCTTTCGAAACTTTTGTGGTTTGCTTTGCAGGGTTTCTGGTTTGTTTTAATATATTTGTGGTTTGCTTTGCGAGGTTTCTTGTTTGCTTTTTTGTGATTTGCTTTACGACGTTTGTGGTTTGCATTAGGAGGTTTCTGGTGTGATTTCGCAAAAATTTTGGTTTGCTTTGTGACTTTTGTGGTTTGTTTTAGGCGATTTGATGCATTAGGAGGTTTCTGGTTTGCATTAAGAAGTTTATGGTGTGCTTTTGAAAATTTTATGGTTTGATTTGTGGGTTTTCTGGTGTGGTTTGTGGTGTTTTTGGTTTGTTTTAGGAGAGTTATGGTTTGTATAATAAGGTTTTTGGTGTGCTTTAAAAATATTTATAGCTCACGTTGTGGTGTTTCTGTTTTGCTTCACGAGACTTATGTTCTACATTAGGATGCTTATGATACAACATAAAACAAAACAAAAAATATGATAAACTTTGTTGATCTTAGGACAATTGATCTCAAGTGATCAGTTATCAACCATTACATTGTCAGAAAGCTATCCATATATCCTCCACTTGCTATTACCAGTACTCTTCTATCATTTTAATGCAATAAACAACCAGGGCGACATAGTCACTAACCACTACCACAAACCGACCCACACCAGTCCAACCACTTCTGGCGGCTGCATGGTCACCGCGTTCATCTACGGCTGTCCTCTCATCGGCGACCAAGGCTTCCACGACTTGTTCAAGGCCCTTTCCCACCACCACCTCCGACTCCTCCGGATCCGGAACTTCCCCGAACCGATGACGACCTACCCGCCGGAGTTCTTCGGGTTCGTCCACGTTGGGAGGGAGCTGGTCATCTATATTAAGTCGCCTTACCTGAAGTCGTGTCTGAACCACCACAGCTTGGAGTTCTACATGCACGGACTGGACGGGTACAAATGGAGTCCGCCCGTTTGAGCTGGTGGTGAGGCGGGATTTGGAGCTGGTAAACAAAGAGGAGGATCATCTCAAGGGCGGAGATTGCGGAGCGGAGGTTGGGGACAGAGTGGCGCATCATGGCGAGGAGCTTGGTGACGATGTGGTCGGAGGGCTAGACGTGGTGGGAGACGTCGGCGGCCGGGAGGGGAACGATGGAGAGGTTGGTGATGGTCGGGGCAGGATTTGAGGAGGGAGTCGGTGGTGGCGGCGTCGGCGGCGACGATGAAGATTGGTGTCTCCGCCTCTGTCGCGGGCATTTTGGGGGAGAGAGGGGCTGAGACGGCGACGATGAGATCTGAATGGGAGAGAGGATGAAATCGTTTATTTTATTTTATTATGTTTATTTTCATTCACGGTTATGCCCTTGTTGTTATAATAACAACACTTAGGGTGTTGTTATGCTATCCGCACCCACCTCCTACGGGTCACAATTGCCTCGTCATACACCGGTTCATTCGATCCACCGATTCATGGTAGTTAGTTAGGGGGAAACAACACCCGAGTGAAGCTTCTCACTAAGAAATTTCCACCCCATTTACTTTTCAAAGTATTGCTTTCAAATCATAGATTGTAGAGATTTCAACAAACAACAATCCGCTAGATAATGTTTCAAACAATCGAAGTAGCGGAACATGGGCTGGCCTGGGTTGCTAGTTAAACATAATTGCCCAATATTGCACCCATCTACGGTTTATACTTGGGCCTTAGGTGGGATTTTATTGTGATAGTCGGAGCAAGTCTAGTTTTTGGAGCCATTGCCGGAGAACTTCGGTCCGTTATCTTGAAAAGATTGTTTGGTGTTAATCTAGATTTTATTTTCCGTTTGTTAAGTGTGAAGTGTGCTTGTGTTAGACGTGTTGTGTTCTTGAAGTTTGTGTAGGGAGTGCATGACCTAGAGCAATCCGACGCCTTTAACACCACTGGACGAGGACATCAACCGAACTCTCCGACTTTTAGCTCGAGAGGGAGCTAGCGGAGGCAAGAAGGAGAATTGAAGAGAGGGGACACAAGCTAGTCCCGGATTTGAAGGAATTGAAGGAGAAG